TCGTATTCTATCAATATCAACGGGGGTCAGTATGGCTACTTTGAAGGAAAAAGGAGGCTAAGACAGGGATGTCCTCTCTCGCCTTACTTATTCGTTTTATGTATGAACATCCTTTCCATCATGCTAAATGAGGCAACATAACAAGGTGAGTTTGGCTATCACCCGGATTGTAAACAAAGTAAGATTACACACTTGAGCCTTTGCGGATGATTTGGTAATTTTTTCTGACGGAAGGATCAAATCTATCCAAGGGATTATGATTGTCTTGCATAGATTTTCTGCTATCTCTGGGTTAACCATCAACATGAGTAAATGTTGTTTTATTTTTGGTGGCTTGTCTACTCAACTCAGTGAGGCAATTCAGGTCTCCACAAACATTAAGTCTGCTGATCTTCCTCTGCGGTACCGTGGGATTCTGTTAAGCTCCAGTACGTAGCATATCATATTGCTTTCCCTTGACCGTATCCGTTCCAGGTTTTCTTCGTGGACTATTAGGGCACTTTCTTTTGCGGAAAGGCTGAGATTGCTACAATCTGTTATTTCGGGTATAATTGGTTATTGGATGCAGGTTTTTGTCCTTCCAAGGAAATGCATAACACAGATAATTCCATTTATTTTGCCTTTCTTTGGAAAGGCTCATCAGACTCTCAAGGAGGAGCGAAATTGGCTTGGACAAGAGTTGCTATGTCGAAGGCAGAGGGAGGTCTTGGATTGAAGGATCTCACCATATTGGACAAAGTGACAGTTCTGAGACTAATCTGATCACTTTTTTTCAGGGGAGGCTCCTTGTGGGTGGCATGGATCCACACGAAATACCTGCACATGAATTGCTTCTGGAGCACTAGACCCAACGCTAGCCACTCATGGTGTTTCCGCAAGATGTTAAAAGGAAGAGTGGTGGCTAGGGCCTTTATCCATACTGCATTGGAAAATGGAAAATGTACCTCCTTCTGGCACGATTTATGGTCTCCTCTGGGCTTGTTACTGAATGTGTTCGGTACCTCAGACCCTCAAAGACTAGGCATCCCTCTTCAATCCAAGGTTGCGGACTTCACTGCTATGGGGATTGGACATTACCTCCAGTGTGATCTGACCAGGCTCTATCGCTCTCTATTTTCCTCTCCGGGAAGACACTCTCAACCCATGAGAATATCTTGGTTTGGGTAGTTGATGGGAATGCCAGAGACTGCTTCTCCACCAATGAGGTATATAAAGCCATGTCTCCAGAGTTAGGACTTCTACCATGGCATAAACTTTTCTGGTGCAAATTTCACACGCCAAAATACTCATTCATTGCGTGGTTGTTTGCACATGATCGTTGCCCAACAAAGGAACGCATGGCATCATGGGGCTTGCAGGTTGATACGAAATGTCTATTTTGTGGTCGTGATCTTGAAAATAGGAGTCACCTTTTGTTCGAATGCTATAACACAAGTGACTTATTTACATGGGCCATGAGGAAATGGGGTACACCCCTTACCCACACTTCATGGGAAGATATTCTGGATCGGTTGTTAGGTCGATGGACATGCAAAACTAGGTTATTGGGAGCCCAACTCACATGGCAAACATTGTTGTATATTGTTTGGTTGGAAAGAAATTGTAGACTACACAAGGGATCCATTCGATTCTCACACCATCAGTTGGCTAGCTCTTTACTCCAAATTTGGTTCTCCACTCCTTGACCGCTACTGCAAACTTATTTCTTCTTATTGTTTCCGAAACAAGATGGTGTCCATTTGTCGATTTTTATTTTATTTTGATCCAAATAAGCAAAGTACGAGAATTTTTCGCAAAGAATCTAATCGTACGGGTTTTTTTAGGATAAAAAATAAGTATTTATAATATGCAAAATATAGATATTTTTTGGAGAGAATCTAATTGTATAAGTTTATTTAGAACAAAAAATAAGTGTAGGATTTAAATTGAGATAAAATGAAAGTATAAGATTTTTTTGGGCATTTATCCTAAATAAATTTAATATGATGGTAATTTTATAAATATCGACAGATAAATAAAACAGTTTTTAGAACATAATGAAATTTGATTTTCGAATCAAATATAGACGGATGAGACATCTAAAACAGATTTATTTTGCTCATTCTTAGTTAAATATCAAATTTTCACATATTAAGAAAATAAAATCGTGAGATTCTTCTATTAGTTGAAGTATTTATGACATTTCAAAATCATTAAACATCTGTTAATGTCGATATAAAGAAGTGATATATTATGCTTAATTAGCCTTTTCATACTTAAGTGTATTATTATAAAAAAAATAAATTGCACGTTTCTTTGTTATAACAATATTTTACATATAACTCACCACATTTGGATAATGGATAGGCAATATATACCATTAGACCACAGATCATTCCTCATCATAACATTTTTACCAAATGATAGCGTGGTGAAGGAAGAAGAATACTTGAAAATTTAAAACATATTTTAAGGAATTTATAAGGTCGTTCAAGATTTTTAAAAAAAAAACTAATTTGATGATTTTGTCCAGAAATTATATTATATTTAGATTTTAACCGTTAATGCTTAAAAAACTAAGTTGAAGATTTTGTCGACAAACATGTTCAAATTTTGTCCAGAAATTATATTATAAATAAAAACATATTTTAAGAAATAATTTTATGGAATTTATGAGGTCATTGCTTCAATGCTTAATGTATATGCTTTTCTGTCATTGTAGTTATATGATATTTAGATTTTAACCGTTAAACTATATGAATCAAGATTAAAACCTTGTACGTACGTATAAGGAAAGTCAGGAGATATTAAACACATCTAAATATACTATATATCAACTAAATATATTTAAATACAATGTTTCTATAGTTCCGGCTTCCGTCGATTTCGTCAGTTTCTGATCGATCTTTCTTTGAACGAATGCACACAAGATTTAACGTGTTCGGATCAATGTGATCCTACTCACGGCCGAGAAGGTTCTCAACAATTCACTATATCAGTTTTTACAGATCTTTGGGATACAAGAATACGCTCAAAACCCAGAACGAATTACAATCTCTCGATCCGAAAATGAAAAATGAACCGTGCCCCTTTTTTTGTAGAAAAGTCGTGCTTATATGCAGAGGAAGAAGACGATGAACAGTGTATACCAACCTCCTGACGTCAAATGTCTTTAGTGCCCTCCTTCCATGAAACGCACCGTATTCACTTAACTCAATCGGTTTGCTGCTCAATTTCCACCTGAGTCAAACCGGACTCTTAAACCGTATTAAGCCGGAAGTCTCTCTTTCAGAAAACAGCTTCGACTGAAGTATTGCCATCTCAACAGTTTCATACATTGAAAACCAAAAAAAAATGCAATGTTTCATTATTATCTTTAATTTATATGTAGTCCAAAGTAGTTCTTTCGGGTTTGGAAGCAAATTACATTATAATAATTAATTTGTGGTATACTCACGTCGGTTATATCTCACTCTATATAGTTTGTGCAATATGTGGACCGATGCGTAACGGAACAAATGACAAAGATATATATACGCATTTATTATTATTATTATTATTTGGTTTAAAGGAACAAAAAAATGCAGCGTATTTTGTAACTTTTGTTGAGGCGTTTCGGTTTCCTTTTCAAAAGACCAACGAAAAATGGTTATTATATATATATATATATAATTAAATTCGACTACTTGTCATAATAATACATGAGATGATCGATTCTTTCCATAGTCTTTGTTGTGTTGTACATTAATTTTGACCGACATTTGCCATAAATAAATGAGAGAGTAATTAAAGCCCCATCTACTTGTGAGTTTGTGCAAACTCAGAATGTCCCATGTGCTTAATCACCCAACATAAATTATAATAAATATTTTCCAAATCCCAAATTGAATGGGTTTTTTTATATTGCATTGGTTTCCTCACACACAAAAAAATATTTACTTTTACGTGGAAGCAAAACCATGGTTCTAATTTCTTAAATTATATATACACACACGTATATAATACGTACATTTAAAAAAAAACAATCTTCTGTACAACATACGTAAATACATACATTATTCTATATATAAATACATCAACGAATTAAAATTTATATATAATCCGTAAATTTTTTTGAAATATAATAAAAATATATATATACATTGAAGCACTTATTTAACGCGATAGCTTTGAAATGAGAGATACTTCTAGAAGCAGTTTAGTTTTTTGCTATTATGATAGAATGTATTTATTTGTAATAATTTTATAAAAATTACGTATTTTTATGTAATTTTGATACATAGCATGAACAGATACATGTACAGAAGGTACTTTTAAGCGCACAATATATCTATTTATGTTCCGAAATGATTAAGATCCTGCATAATACAATAATAGATAAGTTATCATAATGATTAAAGAATGCAATTTGGAATCGAAGATGTGCAGATCTTTTAGCGATCATCAATCTAAAACATGAGTATCGTCCAAGGAGATGGTATGTTTGTGTTTGTGGGGACAAATCGTTCGTATGTATGTATGTATGTATGTATGTATGTATGTATGTATGTATGTATGTATGTATGTATGTATGTATGTATGTATGTGAAGGAGGGGTTGCAAAAGGAAAGGTTATGACTTCATATACATATCTTGAATTCAAGTGTTAGAATTTCAATTATGAAGCATTCAAATATAATTATACTTAAATACTGTGAAAAGGTGTGATTAAAAATACAAGTTTAATCTTTAAACCATCTTACAATTAAATTAATCCACTCAATTTAAATTAAAACTCAATACTTTTTTGTATTATAATTATTAAATTAATAATTTAAACTACTCAAAGACACCAAAAATTATAATTATAATTAAATAAAAAGGAAAGAAGAGAGGATGCCATGATGATGATGATCATCATCACAATGATTATCATTTATATAATAAGTTGCAGAAGACAAAACAAATTCAAAACCTAACAACAAAAAAATAAAATTTTAAAAACTTTAAATACTCAAACCCCAAATTCCTCTTTATAACACCCCATGCTTCAACATTGCCACGTCCATTTTTAATCTCAAAACCAAAAAAAAAACATCACAGCAATTTTTTTTTTTTTTGGGTTGAAGCATAAGCATAGCCATGAACTCGTCTTCTCTTCTAACCCCATCGTCGTCATCATCCTCTCACATCCAAACTCCGGCGAACTTCGACCACGAAGACTTCCTCGACCAAATCTTCTCCTCCTCCGCTCCTTGGTCCTCCGTCGTCGACGACGGCGGCGCTCCGCCGTCCTCCGATGGCGGATTCCAGCAGCCGATCATGATGATGCCTTTGTCCAGTACTCTACCAAACGACGTCGTTGATGGCTCCGTCCAAGCTCTCTACAATGGCTTCGCCGGATCTCTTCTCTCTCCCACCAACCAGTCTCTCCCTTTCCACCTCCCTCAGGTATCCTCTCTCTCTCTCTCAAACTCACACAAATCAGCCGTTCTTCGTCTTCATTCCTCGCAAAGATATGAAGAAAATAATAATCTGAACTTTGTACGGAGATGTCAAGAATATTCCGACCTTTAAAATGCTTCAAACCTCTACTTTTGGAAAAAGAATGATTTTTTTGCATCTGGGTTTCAAAAATTACTTTTTTTAAAAAATGTTGGGATTTCCAAAAAATAAATTCGGAATTCCTTGCAAAGATATGAAGAAAACTTTGAAAGAAAAAAAAAATCATCTAGTTTTTGGAGAACGACATCATTTTCATCGATTTTCCAGACACAAAACCCTAAATTTTCAGCCGAAAAAAAAATGTTGTCTTTAAGCACACTTCAAAGTTCAAAAGTTTAGATTTTTTTTCCTTCTGTCAATTGATTTCGATGTATGTAATTGTGTAGGGATCGGGAGGTGGGATGATGAGCCAAGGACAAGGCCTAGCTCCGGCGACGGCGGCCTCAGGCGTCGACGCCCACCGCCACCGGCGGAGACACGGCGGCGGCTGCGCCGTCTCAGGCGAAGCCCAAAGTCCGGGCTCGGAGAGGTCAAGCCACTGACCCCCATAGTATTGCCGAACGGGTAACCCGTTTTTTAATTATTTAATGAATAATTCAATGGGCGATGATGTTCTTAATCTTAATCGCGTTTGGTTACCGAGAAAGTAGTGGAAAACTATCCGAGAAAAAGAAACAGTGTTATGAGAAATCTTTGAAATCTTTCTGGGCAGTTACGGAGAGAGAGAATCGCGGAGAGAATGAAATCCCTTCAGGAACTTGTCCCTAATGCCAACAAGGTACTCTTGCTTCTTTTTTCAGTTTCGGTTAGGATAATTGTATTAAAGAAAGTTATTTACCAAAAAAGACCGGTTCGGTTTCAGTTCGAATTTGATTATAAAAAGATTATAATTATTCGGTTTTTATATAAACTTTGATTTTATTCGATTCGTATTTGGTTTTTTGTTATAAAAGACCTATCTTTAAAGAAATTTCCGATTTTTTCAATTTTTTTAATCGGTTCACTTCGATTTCGATCTTTCTAGATTTTAAAAAAATTATAACCATTTGGTTTTTGTGTCCGGGACGGAATACATCCGATTTCGGTTTAGTATCTTTGGATTATCTGAATCGATTATTAATTAGTATCAATTGACACATAAATACGGATGCAAGATCTAAGGGGTTTGGTTGTAAATTGTAATGGCAGACAGATAAGGCATCAATGCTCGATGAGATTATCGATTATGTCAAGTTCTTACAGCTCCAAGTCAAGGTGAATCTATATATATGTATTATTTTTTATATAAAATAAATAACAAATAAAGCATAATGATGGAAGTTTCTTTAGCCATTAAGTTGACATTACAATATCATGTCAATTTTAATCAAATATGGCTTCCCTGCAACTAAAATTCCCTATGTTCCCCGTCCCATTTTAAAATACATGTTAGGTTCTTATACAATCTATTATATATATATGTATATATAATATATACTTTGGGTTTTATTAGATAATAATAATAATGGGAGGTTGTAATTAAACTTTTTTTGGGGTGACAAATTTAATATTTGGAAAACTAAATAAATGGGTGCAGGTGCTTAGCATGAGCAGACTGGGCGGCGCTGCCTCTGTCTCTTCTCAGATTTCTGAGGTATACTTTCCACTTCTTCTTCTTCACCCTTTTTATTCATAATCCCAAACTAAGGCTTGAATGGTATCGTAGTGATTTTTATAAAAAAAAAATGATTGAATGGATCAATGTTTAGGCAAAAAAAGAAAAAGTATGACTTAGGGTTTGAATGGAAGAGTTTTTTGGATTTTTAAAATCCGAAAAACCCAAAAAAAAATAATATATTTTTTTATGAAATTAGTTTTTCTAAAAATTTAGAAAGACGTTTTGATAGAAAAATCGACGAAAAACTAAAAAAAACTTCATTTTGTTAGATTTACAAAAAACAAAAATCAAAAACCAAAAACTAAAAAAAAAACTATTACCGTTCAAAATCTTAATAATATTCAATATTTCTGTCTATGTTCACATTAAATGATGATGACGATGATGATGCGATTAGCAAACAAAGGAAATAGAGGGTAAAGCTAATTAATTAAAAGCTAAACAAGATCAATGTTTGGATGAAAAAGAGATTAAGACAAAGAGGGGTGTAAATGCCCATGTGGAACCGAAACCTAATTCATTTCTCCTAATGAGTTTAAACCTAATTATTATAGTTTCTAAAAACTGCAACTACACGACAAAACAGATGTACGAAACTACAAACACCTTATTACCAATATATATATATATATTTGTGGAGAGGGGACGCGTGGGAAAGTCCCACTCATTCTCTCTCCAACGAACAAACAAACTTGCATCGATGGAGACATGACATCATTCACAATTGTCAGCGCTTTTCTTTCTACTTGTCGTTATCTTTCTTGTTTGGCTTTTTAGGGAGGTGGCGGCGATAGGGCTCAGCCCGGCGGCTCCACAGCGCCGAGCTCCGGCGGAGGAGACAGTCTGTCGATGACGGAGCACCAAGTGGCGAAGCTCATGGAGGAAGACATGGGCTCCGCAATGCAATACCTCCAAGGCAAAGGTCTCTGTCTCATGCCCATCTCTTTAGCCACCGCCATCTCCACTGCCACGTGTCACTCCCGCAACCCTCTCCTCGCCGGCGCCGGCGACTGTCGGCCTTCCTCTCCGAACGCCTCCATCATGACCGTACAATCCACGAGCACGACTGCGACAGCCAATGGTAACGGTAACGGCGTGGGTGCCGGGAAGGACACTGCGTCGGTTACGAAGCCGTGATAACGGCTGTTTGACACGAAGTGGATAGGGTGGGAAAAAAAAGTCAACGGAGCTTTTGTCCAAAGTCTACAGAGTAAGGATTTTATTGGAATACGACGCCGTATTTGGGTAGACTACGGTTCAATTTTTTTTTTTTTTTTACCTACTACGACGCACCACCCACTGTTTTTTTTTTTTAAAGAAATTTCATTTGCAGTGATGAATTACCAATAAAATCAAGTTATTAGACAATGACGTGCGGATTAACGGTCTTTAATCATAATTATCTTATTTTGATATTTTCATATGATGAAAACATTCAATACTTCATTAATTGTCCGAAGTTTATTAAGAAAATCTATATATAGTAATAAAGATGTTTAAAGGATTGTAGTGAAGCCACCTCACCCTCCACCTCATCCATTTTTTAAAATTTTATTGGTCATTTGATATATTCATTATTTTGATAAACCACATCATATTCTATCTCATCATTTTTATAATTTTTATGTGTAATTAAATATATATATATATATATATATATAATTTATCATTACAGTTTACAATAAAATAAATAATAAAACCACTCAAATATTATAATAGAAACTAATATATATGATTTTACATTATAATATAATCTAATAAAAATATAAATATTTTATATTCTGTATCAATTTACACAAAATTTACAATAAAATATTTAAAAAAATTCTTACAATTAAAAATGTTGCCAAAAATAATCAATACTCCACTAAGAAAAACAAAAACGGTAGAATATTCATTTACACATTTACGACCATAATTACTAATGTAACCAAAAAAACAAAAACGTGGTCTATTTATGATCATAATTACTATTGGAGTTAAAAAGTAAAAAATAAAAAATAAAAAATAATAATGACCAAGCACACTGATGATGATGTCATCAATCGCCACGTAATGGTTGGAGATGCCATGATTGTTTCACAGTAATCTGGAATTCACGGTCAGGATTTGCCGGTGGTCCAAGTGAACGATTGGGTAGAAATATGATTATGATACGTGACAATACTCTAGACATCTCAGGTATGAGGATCAAAGAACGAACCGCTGTATGAGATTCAAGTCATGACTCTGTCCATGTGACAATCTCATGCGAGTCATC